TCACTTCTTTAGTTAATTCCTAGGTATTTTATTTTTTGTGGGGCTATTACAAATGGAGTTGCTTTCCTAATTTCAGCCACACTTTTCTCATTATTGGCATACAGAAAAGCCGTTGATTTATGGGGGTTAATTCATGTTCTCTTATTCTTGCTCAGATACAAGTTGATTAGCATTATACTAGGTTTTTCTGTGGATTTTACATTCACCAAACGGAATGTTCTATTGGTTGGAAATCCTTATCTGTAAACAGTAAAAACTGGGAAAAATAAAGAAAATCAAAATCTCATTTCTGTAACATGACATATTTACATTTCCACATTCTTTCAGTCTTTTTCCATGTGAATTTTTACCTTTTATGCAGATATTGTGTTTCTTTGTATTGTATTATCTTTAAGTAGTTGTACAAAGAAGATGCCATTCAACAAAGTGCTTATAAATTCACTATGCCTTGATCAAGGTCATCTTTTTCAACATTTCATATTGTGTTTTGATTTTTCACCTGATATTATTTTATATACTCTCTGTGTATATGCCCATACTGGGGCTTGAATTCATGGGCTCTTGATTTGGTTGGCAACTGACACTCTACTGCTTAAGTCATACCTACAGTTTGGTGTTTTGCTGGTTATTTGGAGATGGGGTGTCTCTGACTTTTCTGCGCAGGTTAACTGTGAGCCTTGATCCTCTAGGTCTCAGCCTTCTGAGTATTTCGAATTACAGGTGTGCACCACTCATGACCAGCTATTATTTTATACTTTCAAATGTTACTTTATAATACTCCTAATTTTTTTCATCAGTTGTGGGACTTGAGCTCTGGGCCTGTGTGCTGTCCCTGATCTCTTCAGCCCAAGGCTAGTGCTCTACCACTTGAGCTACATCACCACTTCCAGTTTTCTGGTGTTTTATTGGAGATAAGAGTCTCATGGACTTTACTGCCTGGGCTGGCTTTGAACTGTGATCCTCAGATCTCAGCTTTCTTAGTAGCTAGGATTACAGAAGTGAGCCACCAGTGCCTGGCCATTACTCATAATTTTTAATGGTTAGAAATATCTCACTAAATATAAACTGTTTAGTCAATTCTCTATCACAGGTATTAATTTTTTACTTATCACTTAAAAATATTATAAGTAGGGCTGGGAAGGTGGCTCAGTGGTAGAGCGCTTGCCTTGCATGCCTGAGGCCCTGGGTTCAATTCCTCAGCACCACATAAGCAAAAAGAAAAAAGCTAGAAGTGGTGCTATGGCTCAAGTGGTAGAGCGCTAGCCTTGAGCTGAAGAGCTGAGGGACAGCACCCAGGCCCAGAGTTCAGGCCCCACGACTGGACCCCCCCCAAAAAATTATAAGTAATTATACATTTATATAAATATTTTTTCTCCATTTGAATTATTTTGTTTTAATAAACTCCTGAGTGTTGGGCTATGGTTCTAGAGGTGGTACCAATTGTGGTGCTTTTTGTTTGTTTTTGTTTTTTGTTTTTTTGGGGGTTTGTCATGGGGCTTGAACTCTGGGCCTGGATGCTGTTTAGTATTCAACCAGGTAGAAGAAATGGAGACTCTGCCCCTGCTTCAGTGACTTCTTACATATACACGTGATCAGTAAGGAGTCTCCATTGATCAGAAAAAACTCAGATTCAACAAAGTCATTCAACAAGCTGGAATACCTAAGAAAACAAACAACAAAAAGAAGTTAAATGAAAAAGAGATTTGGATTCAATAATTCCCCCTAAAAGCTGTATTATTGTTACTATCACATTATATCACCAGTAGCAGATGAATTTGTTATATATACCTATATGTAATAAATAGGCAGTTATGCATTAATATATAACTACGTACAAGTATATATACTGATATAATGTATATACATGCACAAGATCATGCTGAGATAGATACCATCAGATATGCTGACATTTTCTGTAATAAAGATCTTTATTATAAGAAAATACTCACTCTGCAGTTGGCATTTTATTCAGAATCAACTGTGAAATTGCCTCTAACAACGCCATGGGTTGTTCTAAAGAAAGTGGATTATTTTCAGTCAGTCCTTCAAACTCACAGTTGTTATCTGAGGAATAAGAAACAGTATTTTAATTGCTTTAACTCAATTAAATCTGTATAGCTTCTATTTCATAATTCTGAAGATATTTTGAATTGAAAATTACCCAATCTTGCAGCTATCTTTGCCTTCAGCCTGAAGGGCAAGTATTAAATATCATAATTATCTGTCACTCTGTCTTCTCCAAATAACAGTTGTTCGTGAGAATGGTAGACCTGCAAAGAAAGGGGAAAATTCAAGTCATGATTCTACCCATAAACATGTACTGAATGACGATTACACGTTAAGCAAAATATTAGGCACCAAGAATATAAGAAGTAACAAAGCACCAAGCGCCGGTGGCTCACACCTGTAATCCTAGCTGCTCAGGAGTCTGAGAACTGAGGATCGTGGTTTGAAGCCAGTGTAGACAGGAAAGGCTATGAGACTGTTATCTCCAATTAACCAGCAAGAAAACCAGAAGTGGTACTGTGGCTCAAAGGTGTAGAGTGGTAGCCTTCAGTGGAAAAGCTCAGGGACATAGGCCAGTCCCTCAGTTCAAGCTCCACGACCACCACCAACAAAAGAACAACAACACAAAAAAAAACAACAGGAAGAAGACGATGAAAGAAAAAGAAATAGCAAAACCCACAATACCAGTTTCCAAGAGCTTAAACATCTTATTAGACTTCCGGCTGAAGCCTTTCCCACACTTGCTGACTTGGCTCGCGCTTGGGCCCGGCCCCGCGCCTAGGGGTTTCCAGCGCGTGGAGACTTCGGTCTCGCCATTGGCCCGCCGAGAGGAAGCCCCAGCCGGGAACCCCGAACAGCTTTTCCAGGCAACGCGGGTGACATCGGGCGGCGCGCTTTCCCCACGGAGGTTAACGCCATCAGGGCCGGTGTCCCGGCACGGAAACCGCGCCGGACACGGCCCTGCCACGTTCCCCTCGCCCCCCAGCCGGCTTTGACCCACCACGATCGGCCAAGCAGGCGTCAAACCGGTTTGAGCGGGATCCAGCCAGATGGAACTGGATCGAACCGGATCAAGCCGATTTGAGCCAGATCGAACCGAACCAGAACGAACCGGATCAAGCCAATTTGAGCCATATGGAACCGGACCGGATCAAACCAGATCAATCCGGTTTGAGCCAGATGGAACCGGATCGAGCTAGATGGAACCGGATTGAACCGGATCAAACCGGTTTCAGCGGATGGAACCGAAACCGGTTTGAGCAGGATCAAACCGGAGGCGAACCAAACAGGTTTGAGCCGGATCGAACCGGATCAAACCGAATCAAGCCAGTTTGAGCCGGATCGAACCGGATTGAACCGGGTCAAACTAGTTTGAGCCGGATCGAATCGGATCAAGCTAGTTTGAGCCAGATGGAACCGGATTGCACTGGATCGAACCGGATCAAGCCGGTTTGAACCAGATTGAACTGGATCGAACCGGATCAAGCCAATTTGCGCCATATGGAACCGAACCGGATCAAACCAAATCAAGCCGGTTTGAACCAGATCGAACCGGATCAAGCTGGTTTGAACCAGATTGAACCGGATCAAGCCGGTTTGAACCAGATTGAACCAGATCGAGCCGGTTTGAGCCAGATGGAACCGGTTCGCGCCGGATCGAACCGGATCAAGCCAGTTTGAACCAGATCGAACCAGATCAAGCCGGTTTGGAGCAGATTGAACCGGATCAAGCCGGTTTGAGCCATATTGAACCGGATCGAAACAGATCGAGCCGGTTTGAGCCAGATGGAACCGGTTTGCGCCGGATCAAGCCGGGTTGAGCCAGATCGAACCGGAGCAAGCCAGTTTGAACCTTATGGAACCGGATCGAGCCGGATCAAGCCAGTTTGAACCTGATGGATCCAGATCGAACCGGATCAAGCCGGTTTGAACCGGATGGAAGCAGATCGAACAGGAGCAAAACAGCTTGAACCAGATGGAGCCGCATCAATCCGGTTTGAACCGGATGGAACCGGATCAAGCCGGTTTGAACCGAATCAAACGCCGGATGGAACTGGAATGAACCGGATTGAACCGGATCAAGCCGGTTTGAACCGAATCAAACCGGATCAAGCCAGTTTGAACCGAATCAAACCGAATCCGGTTTGAGCCGGATGGAACTGGAATGAACCATCGAACCGGCTCGATGGGGCCGGATGGAACCAGTTCAAACCGGTTTGAGCCGGATGGAACCGGATTGAACCGGATCAATCCAGTTTGGAACTGGATCAAGCCGGGTTTTAGCTGGATGGAACTGGATCAAGCCAGTTTGAACCGGATCAAGCCGATTTGGCCGGATTAAACCAGATCAAACCGGTTTGAGCCAGATGGAACCGGATCAAGCCGGTTTAAGCCGGATGGAGCCGGATCAAGCTGGTTTGAGCCGGATGGAACCGGATCAAGCCGATTTTGGCCGGATTGAACCGGATCAATCCGGTTCAAGCCAGCTGGAACCAGATCGAACTCAATCAAGCCGGTTTGAGCCAGATCCAGCCGGATGGAACCAGATCGTTTATTTGTTTTTGTTTTTTGTTTTTTTTGGGGTTGGTCATGGGGCTTGAACTCTGGGTCTGGGTGCTGTCCCTCAGTTCTTCAGCTCAAGGCTAGTGCTCTACCACTTGAGCTACAGCACCACTTCTAGTTTTCTGGTGGTTTACTGGAGATAAAGAGTCTCACAGACTTTACTCTCTGAGCTGGCTTTGAACCGTGATCCTCAGATCTCAGCCTCCTTAGTAGCTAGGATTACAGGTGTGAGCCACCAGCGCCTGAGTTGTGTGTGTGTGTGTTTAATGATTCTTTATTCTACCAAGAGGAGAGGATAAAACCTCATACTTTTCCTCTTGACATCATATAAGACTACCAGCCATTCTACTGTCCCCAAATATTCTTCCCCAGAATTCCCAAAGTGCCATATTCTAGCTTTTCATCTATGGTGTCTGTTCTTTGTCTCTTCTGTGCTCACCTTTTGCTTCAAAGTTTGTTTCTATTAGAGCTGAGATCTAAGCTGATTGTGCTTCACTTTTACCTTACCCTTTAACTGTCTCATTCCCTCCACAGTGGGCTTTGGTTATGAATCATTAATCACATGATATCCCATGATATCCCAGCCACAAGATACCTATCTCTTCAAGAGGAATCTTATTCTCCTTGTTTCTAGTTTTATTCCCTTTAAACCATATTCCTTCACAGAACCAGAGTTGTATCCCAATATGTAAGATGGGTCATGTCCTCATCCTCTAAAAACACTTCAGTAGATTTCCACTGTTCTTAGGCAATCATTGAGATTCCAAAATAAAGATCTTATGCCTTCCTGTCCCTCTCACCACTCCAGCCCCTCTGATTTCTTTGTATATATGGCCAACATCTTACCTGTGTGTCTACCAGCATTCCTCTTCTACCTGTGTCAGAGTAGATCCTACACATACCCCAGGACTTAGAAAGGCCTTTTCCTGAGTGCAAGGCAAATTTATTCTCCTCTGCTAATCTTCAAGTTCCTTCTCCAGTGATACCACTGACTATGCTTTCTCAAGGCCAGTTCCCAGATGCATCTATTCCCTAGGACATGTGTCCTGCCTGGGTGTAGGCCAGATATGTGCTTAAATCTATAGCAAGCTCTCAGTAGCCAGAACCTATGAGGGAGAACAGTGAGCCCTGAGTGCATTGCATGTGTATGAATGAGGCACAGAGCCTAGCTACAGTCCCTTACACTGCACACAACCACCCATGCTGCATATTAAATTCACAACATCTTCTCTCGGGCTCTTCAGAGTAGTGGTGGCTCCCCCTGCTCCACCTGGTTTTCTTCTCAGTTCTGTCAAAAACAAACAAATAAACAGAAAAAATACACAAGCAAACCAAAAAAAAAATAACAGGTGGGCTGGCAGGACAATATACAGACCTGCTGTTGTTCCGAAGCTTTGATTGACATTCATCTTGTCAGTGTTGCTGATCTGGGTTGCTTGCCTGATAGGATAACTCTGAAATTACTCCTTGAGGATCCGAGCTAGTATTCACCAGGTTGTTGGTTTTTGTTTTTGTTTTCTTAATCAGGTTTTATTTGCCTCTGGTGCTTGTATCAAAAATTTAAGAAACAGAAAGCCCAAATTCCAAATGATAAAAGGGACCTCTCCTCCCATGTATTTAAAGTGTATCACACATCTTGACGTTGGACTATGGACTTTGTCCATAACCTGGTACCATATATGGCTGGGCCTTTAGAGGCTGTTCTGGTAAAGTGATTGGTAAGCTGTAGGTCATAAAATGTATACAATATCCCATGGACATAGGCCATTGTTACACCTCCTTTGCTATGCCCCTGCATCTGAAGTGGTATGTATGATGTCGGCAAGTCAGGTGCTCTGAGTGGTCTCAGATAGCAGGCCTGGCCCAGGCATTATAGGCTGGAAATCTATACCCACACTTGGATCACAACTAATCCAGGAAGGACAGATTATTATCCCATTCTCACCCTAGGGTAAAAATGTTTGCATGTGATCAATATGCAACAAGAGCTGGCTGTCAGCCTGGCACCAGTGGTTCATGCTTGTATTCTTAGTTACTCAGAAGACTGAGATCTGAGGATAGCGGTTCAAGGCCAGTCCAGGCAGGAAAGTTCCTGAAGTGGAGGTGTGGCTCAAGTGGTAGAATGCTGGTATTGAACAAAAATAGCTAAGAACAGCACCCTGGACCTGAGTTCAAACCCAGACAGGCATCAAAAAATAAAAAGAAGAAGAGGAGGAGAAGCAGCAGCAGCAGCAACTAGTTCTCTCTAGTTGTCTTCTTCAGAATGTTATCACATCAAGCACTGGTGGTGTTGTCTGCTGCTGACAGATCAGACCACAACACTCAACAGCAGCAGCAGCAGCTGAATCAACCTCAATGCCTGATCCTTGATTCTTCCTGCTAAGTGTTCCTTTCTCTTTTACATTCCTGATCACAAACTGGCAGAAATATATTTGCTTATGGCCTTTTTCAACACACTATCTTATCTTCTGCTCTCCCTTGAGAGGGCCATATCCCCAGATGAATTGCAATCATGGTGTACTTTTAACAGGTTCCAACAGAAAACTTTGATCAGAGCAAAACTACAAGTAAACTTTGAAAGGAAGAGGTAGAAGATGCTGCTCCTGGAAAAATGAGCTGACATGGATGGCTAGGAATAAGTCCATAAGTAGAGGAAGCTGAACCAGTAACTAACTTCTATTTAGTCATTAATCTGAGGTAGCAATTCTTTTTGTAGTTCCATTTTTGCAAAAGATAAGAACCTGTTATTTCTCTCTTATAGTGGTGGTGTAATGATCTTAACCTCATAAGTACATAAAAACATCTTATTTTTAAAAATTTTACCTAATGTTTAAAATTATCTTTAAGTAGTTGTCCAAAGAGGTCTTAATTCAACCCATCAATT